CCGCTCACTGCGGCTGTGGGCCCCTCATGCTGGCTGCTGGCTACACACGGTAGCCCATGGCAACCCACTGCAGCAGGGGCTGCAGCCTATGCTGTCGCCAGCAACTCACGGCCGCCCAGCTCCAGGTTGAGCTGTTGTTCAGAATCTTAGCTATAGAGGGCAGTGTCACTGGCCCTCATATATGGGATCCGAACCGGGGCCCTCTGGCATCCCAAGCCGGCGCTTAACCAACGCGCCACTTGGCCGGCCCCTGACCACTATTTTTAAAGCATCACTCCACCATGGAGTTAAGAGTACACTGTAGGGGGCTAAGCTAGGAGCAGGAAGACAGGTAGAGGCGAGGTCGCAACCCAGACCTGAAGTGGTGGTACCTCAAATCAGGGTGGTGATGAGAAGTGATTCAGTTCAGGAATGGACGTGAGGGACAGAAAAGAGTTAAGGATGACCCAAGAGCCAAGAAGGGTGACACCAGGGCTTTTTGCCCTGAGCCACTGGAACAATGAAGTTGCCACTAAGTATGATGGGGAAACAGTAGATGAGCAGGTTTGCAGGAAGACAGGAAGGTCAGGTTTGGATGTAGCCAGTCTGGAGTTCAGGGAACAGGCCCTGAGCTGGAGGGAACAGTTGGAACATCATGAGATGGCTGGTATTCAAGTCTTGAGATGAGGTGTCACCCTGGTATCACTAAGGGAGTGAGGGAGGACTGAGCCCCAGGGCGTGCCCCAGGGTATTCCTGCAGTAGACAGGAAGAAGTGACAGAGAGGTAGAAGGAGAACCAAGAGGGTGAGGTTTCTTGAGACAATGACTGAAGGAAGTTTGAGAGGAGAGAGTGATCCGACTATCAAGCCGCTGAAAGATCAGATTGAGTGGGGACCAGACTCCTTGGACTTGGCAATGCGGAGGTTGGTGACCTTGGTCAGAGCAATTCTGGAGCAGAGGTGGGGGCGAAAGTCTGACTGCAATGGGTTCAACAGAGAACGGGGGAGGGAAATTGAAGACAGCTGAGATCAACAATACTTCCAAGAAATTTTGATACAAGGGGAGCAGAGAAATGGGGCCAGGACCCAGAAGAGGCTGTGGGGTCAAGAGAGTGTTTCATTTTGTTTTCAGTGGGAGAAAAAAAAAAAACCAATGAAGGAGAATGATCTAGAAAAGAGGAGAAAATGGATGGTGCAGGAGAAAGGAAAACTGCTGGAGGGATATGTCTTTGAGTGGACAAGATACAGGGCAGAAATGGAGGGCTGGCCCTGACTGGGGGTGAGGAGGGGTGAGGTGTTACCCCATAAAGAGGAAGCCCAGGAGTCATCCAGGAGGTAGGAGAGAACACAGACGAGGCATCACGGCACCCCAGGCGGTCAGTGGTTGTGGGTGGTTGTGCGCTTTCTCTCCAGCGTGTTCTGTGTGGGGACAGGCAAAGCGTGGGTGGGGAGGTGGCGTCAGAGCTGAGTCAGGAGAGGAAAGCCCCGGGGAAGCATAGTCCGGGCAGAGGGGATGGCAGGTGCAAATGTCCCGAGGTAGGTGTCCAGAGGAAGGGAAAGAGGCTGAATCATGGTGAGTGACAGGGAGAGTGGCCTGAGGTGGCACCCGAGAGGTGGCCAGGAGCCAGACAGTGCAGAGCCTTCCGGGGCTCCGCGCTGGTTTTTTTTCCTCAGTGTGATGGAAGTCCCTGGGAGGTGTTAAGCAGGGGAGAGACTTCATTTGATTCCAGTGTTTGAAGTTCTCCCAGGTGCTGTGCCAAGAGGACGGCTGTGCTCTGGCAGCTTGGAGAAGGCAGATCTGAGGGGCGGGACACTCCTAAGGAAGCGGGCAAGCAGGCTGATTCCATCTTAATCCCTGGGCACCTAGACGTGGGTCTGGGCTGGAAAGGAAGGGGGGCCGACATGGGACCTGATCCCATGACCCCCGCTGTGGGTGCGGTGGGAGATCGCAGGACACCCTCAAGCTGGTCTCCCCCCTCCGACCCCAGGCCTGGGCATGTGCTTCAGCTTCCAGTCGACCATCATTGTGCTGGGCTTCTACTTCAACCGCCGGCAGGCCCTGGCCAACGCGCTGGCCTCCGTGGGCGTCTCCCTGGGCATCACACTCTGGCCGCTGCTCGCCCGCTACCTCCTGGAAGACCTGGGCTGGAGGGGTACCTTCCTTGTCTTCGGCGGGGTTTTTCTCCACTGCTGTGTCTGCGGGGCCATCCTGAGGCCCGTGGCCACCAGCGTGGCTCCTGAAACCAGAGAAGGGCCCCCTCCACCTTCCAAGACACCTGTGCCCAGCTGCCTGGCAGCATGTGGCCGGGCCATCCAGCGCCACCTGGCCTTTGATATCCTCTGGCACAACGCAGGCTACCGCGTGTTCACACTGGGCGTCGCGTGGATGATCCTGGGTTTCCCGCTGCCACACGTCTTCCTGGTGCCATACGCCATGCGGCACGGAGTGGACGAGCACAGGGCGGCCCTGCTCATCTCCATTATCGGCTTCAGCAACATCTTCCTGCGGCCCATGGCCGGGCTGGTGGCAAGCCGGCGGGACTTTGCCGGCCACCGCAAGTACCTGTTCAGCCTGGCAGTCCTGCTCAACGGGCTCACCAACCTGGTGTGCGCGGCGTCGGCCGACTTCCGGGTGCTGGTGGGCTACTGCCTGGTGTACAGCGTGTCCATGAGTGGAGTTGGTGCCCTCTTCTTCCAGGTCCTTATGGACGTGGTCCCCATGGATCGGTTCTCCAGGGCCCTGGGCCTCTGCACCATCCTGGAGAGCATCTCCATCCTCATCTCCCCTCCACTGGCTGGTGAGGCCCTGGAGGGAAGGAGGGAGGGTGGCCAGGTGGGCCAGAGCATAGCCTGGGCAAGCAGGGTCAGGGGCGAGGCAAAGGGAACAGTCTGGACAGATGTGGGCCCCGGCCAGCATCGCAGGGGTAGGAACGTGGAATCTGTGACTTTCCCAAGCACCCCAGGGGTTCTGGCTACAGTGTGTTCCCCAGCTGGTGCTCAGTTAACAGTAGGGGTTTGTGTACTAAACTTACCTGAGTTTGTCGTCTTCCTCTCTGTCACTTTGTTTTCTTATCAGCAAAGGGGGGATGATAATAGAAGCTGCCTGGTAGGCTTGTGCTGAGGATCTCAAGTTGTACAGTAAAGAGCTTAGTAGAGAAGCTGGCACTGAGTAGGTGCGATGCACAGGTTATTAAAATCCTGGTTCTCCAACTTCCTGCCTGTGGGACCCGGGCAGGTCATTTTCCTTCTCGGAGCCACAGTGTCATCTGCAAAATGCAGAAAAGAACACGTGCCATAACCATTGATTCACCTGTGCCAGTCACTGGCTGCGCATAGCTGAATACAAAGACTTACCTTCTAGGGGGAGAGTCGGGAATTAAAGCAGAGACACATTTGTGGTCACAATGGCTATTGGTGCCTGGTGGGAAATGCACAGATATGGAAAGTAGAACCTCATATAAGGGGACTTGCTGGGCAGCTGGGAGTGTGACATTCAGAGCCAAAGGGAAGATTTATGAAGCACCTGGGCTGAGGGAGGCAGTCAGCAGAGAACACGTGGCAGCGGTTATTACAGTAAGGCCATGGGGACTCTTCCCCTGAGTGGGGAGTTGGAAGTCCCAGTTTCCAAGGGCATTCTCCAAGCCAGCAAGCAGACAGAGCTCTCCAGGAGGAGGTACGGGTGGACCCAGGGTGTGGCCGAGCAGATATCCCAGACGCCACTGGCCCTTGTCTCCTTGGTTTCCTGCCACCAAGGGTAAGAGAGACGTGGCCTTAAGTTCTCTTTGGCCTGAGTACTCTTCCTGCATGGACCAGACTAGGTTTAGTGTTTCCTCTCCTCCCTTCATTCAACATTATTTATTGAGTGGCTACAATTCCTAGAACTGGGGATACAGCAGAGACAAAAATAAAGTCCCTGTTCTCTCAGAGCACACGGTTTAGTGGCGGGGGGGAGGCCTGGTGGCCCCAGACAGTGGCCTAACTTGCTCTCTGTCCTCCAGGGTTCCTCCTGGACACGACTGACAACTTCAGTTACGTTTTCTACATGTCCAGCTTCTTCCTGATCTCAGCCGCTCTCTTCATGGGTGGCAGCTTCTGTGCCCTGCGAAAGAAGGAAAGGCGGCAGGGCAGGCAGGCTGAGGCGGAAGCCGCCACCCTGGAGGCTGCCCCAGAGCGGGCCCTCACCGTGAAGGGCACAGACAGGTCCGAGAAGCGACTGTGCACTGAAATCGTATATGTGACCAGTGTCTGAGCCCTGGGATCACATGTGTGACCAGCATCTGAGCCCCGAGGTCAACAGGTGACCACTGCCTCAGCCTAGGAATGGGATATCCAGCTGCTTCACCAGGGGCTAGGGTGACGTGCTGCCCAGAATGCCTGAACCAAAGACCATCCAGACTGTGCACATCGGGACTCAGCCAGGAGCTGGGACCTTGGAGGCTGGCCTCCGAAGACTCAGGGTCCCTTCCAGTGAGCAGAATCCAGGAGCAGGTCCTCTTGACATTTCCTTGGGCACCAGAGTACTTGGGGCCCACGAAGGTGGGTCTGAGCCCTGCTGGGGTCCATCATGGCCGGCTCTGCTCAGCTGCCCGCCCGCTGCTGCTGCTACAGCTAACATACTGGACCCTCGAGTCCAGTCTGTATGTGATCGCTTTGTCCTTCTCCGACCTCCAGACGGTTCCAGAGAGCTTGCCTGTCATCCGAAGCCCTCCTGCCGCCTTTCTTCCCAGTGACCCAGCCCTTGCCCTTAGGGCCGCCTCCAGCACAGGCTGCTGGGCCTCATGTTGACTGGCACCCTGGGAAGAAGGGCCTGGTGAGAGAATGAGTTGTGGCCTGTAGCGATGGAGGGCCAGGCTGAGGAGTTGGCCTAGACGCAGGGTTTGGACAGATTAAATGTTGGATGGAGTACTCATCCTGTCGTCTGCAGAGAACTGGAGGGGAGCCCCTGACTTGGGTCCTAGAATTAGTGAAGGTGAGGGGCCCCCTGCACACCATCAGAGCCTGCTCCAGGGTCTCCCCCCCCCCTCCTTTGTCCTACCTGATATCTTGGGCCGGGAAGGTTAATGCTGGACTTGGGGAAAGCCAGACATCTGACTGACCAGGTAGAAGGACTGCTAGGCACAGCCCAAGGACCTCTGTGAAAATGGAGAGCTGCTTTTGCAACAGAAGCCCTACGATTCTCCTCGCCTTCCGTCCTCTTCTCCCTGTGGTATTAGAGGTATCAAGCCTGGGGTGGGGTAAATAGCTGGCTGGGCCAGCTGCCAGTCCACCCCTGCTCCCTGTTGGCCTGTGCCTGTGGCCTGGAGGCCAGAGCTCCCCACACACACTCTTTGCTGGTGCCCTTCCCCGAGGTCATCACCCGGGGGCTAGCTGTCAGCAGCCTAGGTTTGTTCTACCAACTCAGGGAATGGAAAAACAGTTTGAATTATACACAAAAATGTTTCCTGCAGCAGGTAATAAACCCTGTGAACTACTGAAGCAGGAAAACAGGCCTGGAGTAAGCCCCCCTCCTCCACTTCAGTTCTCCCAGTTTGGCAGAGGTTGCTCACGCCCAGGACCTTGTTGATTCAGGCTTAACCAGGCTCCAACAAGAACACCTTATCAGGAGGACCGATTTTATTTTCATGACCCAACTGTAGCCTTCCTCCTCAACAGGTCCAGCTGGCATGAGTAAGCATCCTTGGGGACGTCCTGTCTTCTCCAGGACCCTGCCACGAGTGCCCCCTTATGGCCACAGAAGGTAGTGCAGAGGCAAAACAAAGGACTCTGGGCTGGGATAGAGACCTGTGTTCACATTTGATTCCGCCACAATTTGCTATGTGACTTGGGGCAAATTGTTCACCATCTCTGGGCTTTGAAAAAGGAGGAGGTTGGCCTGGATAAACTAATCTCTTCTAGTGTGAAAAGTCTAATCCTGAAGATCTCCGCCCCCCACTGCCTTCCTGCTCCCCACCCAGTCCTATGCTTGGCCACCATCCACAGCTTGTGCACTGAAGGGAGAAAGCTTGGACATAGTTTACCAAGTCCTGCCTCCTCCATCTTAATGGAGTGGACAAGGAGGGAGTTGGGCTGGTGAGTAGGTGAATGCTTTTGGTGCTGGTAGCTACCAGGCTTTGAAATGTGCATCCCCTAAGAGGCCCACTTCCTTAAAACATTTCTTTCAAGGAAAAAAGGTATCAGTGAACATTCAGCATAGGGAATTTTGACTTCATCTGCCCCTGGGCAAGATTAGCAGTATTCTCTAGGCCAGTGGTCAACCTGTGGGTTGTGACCCCTGTGGGGGTCGAACAACCCTTTCACAGGGGTCACCTAAGACCATTGGAAAACAAAAAGATATTTACATTATGATTCATAACAGTAGCAAAATTACAGTTATAGAGTAGCAAAGAAAATAATTTTATGGTTGGGGGTCACCACATGAGGAACTGTATTAAGGGGTCGTGGCATTAGGAAGGTTGAGAACCACTGCTCTAAGCGGACTTCCTTCAACAGGTATTTATTGAGCATCTACTGTGTGCCAGGGAATGGGCAGAGAGGAATAAGAACTGATCGCTGATTTTCTGGGAATCCTCTAGAGAGGTTCTGGAGCAGTTCCTGAGCAGCACAGGGTGGAGCACATTTCCATCCTGTCCTCAAGCCTTGGTCTAGCCAGAGGCAGAGAAGCCCTCTGGCTGAGATGTACTTCCCCAGATCGCATCAGCTCCCTCAAAAAGCAGAAGGGGGCCGGCCGAGTGGCGCGATGGTTAAGAGCTGGCTTGGGATGCCAGAGGGCCCCGGTTCGGATCCCGCATGTGAGGGCCAGTTACACTGCCCTCCACAGCTAAGATGCTGAACAACAGCTCAACCTGGAGCTGGGCTGCCATGAGTCGCCGGCGACGGCCTAGGCTGCAGCCCCTGCTGCAGTGGGTTGCCATGGGCTACTGTGTGTAGCTGGCAGCCAGCGTGAGCGGCCAGCAAGCCGCAGTGAGTGGCCGTCCAGAAGCCGGCGACTGATCTGCCTCACCCGGGAAGAGCGCAATGATGGTGCCAACTTGGGCCAGTGAAGCAACGTCCTCCACAACTAGACTGAAGAGCAAAGCGACAGCAACTTGTCTGTTCCTGTCCCCCCAATTCCCCAGCACTGTTCCCATCCCCCCAATTCCCCAATTAAAAAAAAAATCTTTAAACAAAAAAACAGAAGGGCCAGGTGAGGTCATCGGGGGCCACCGCCCTCACGGAGCAGCCATAGTACCCAAGCACCCAGACTATAGTCGTAACTCCTGCCCCAGGGGGTGTGTATAGGGCAGGGGCTGACCACAGGGACCTGGGCCCACGAAGGTGGGGCCTGCTCCCAATGCCAGGCCCAGGACCAAAGGAACATGGTCCTTGCCTTCAGGAAGCGCACAGCCCAAGCCCCCTTTACGCTCTCATTTTCAAGCACGATAGGAGCACGGCAGGGCCACTTCTCTCCCTGGTATTTGATCCCCTGCGCCTACGAGGTCTCGGTCACAGACCACCTTCCTGAGAAGCCCCAAGAACGAACTGGGCACAAGAGCTTCAGCATTCAGGGCTCCACAAGCCAGAAAGCCGCCAAAACTGTACATTTAAGTGAATGGAAGCTCCTACTGCCTGCCAGTGCTGCCCCAGCGCTCTCCATCCGCCTGGCTGACAAAGAGCTTTCCTCAGTTCCCGATATTTCTGGTCAGAGATAGCGGACTCAGCTCAGGGTTGGGGAGCCTGGGGTGCCGGGTTCGCCCGGCTTTTTGGAAAAGCCGACCAGAAGGTATCGTCAAAGGACCCATATGAGGGGAGAGGGCCACAGGGAGCCAACGCCCACTCTCCGGAGGGGCGTCCCTGCGTGGAGGAGGTTGGCTTGCGCCCCCTCTGTAGATGCAAGGGGGTCTGGAGATGGTTCTGCCTGACAGCTCCCCACATAGGCGCCCTGCGGCGCCTCTGAGCTGCTAAGCGTCCTAGAGGCGCTCCTCAACACACACCCCACCCCGCCGGGCCGAGCAGCGCGGCGGAGAGGAACCGCGCACGCGCGCCGAGCTCAGCGGCGGCCCCGCCCCTCCCGCCTCGGCCCACCCCTTTCCTCCTTCCGGGCGGAGGTAAGCGCGGCTTCCGCCGGAAAGCCAGAAGGGAGCCGAGAAATCGAACCCTGTCCCCGGCCGGGGTTTGGGGGCTCTGCTCCCTCCTCCAGCGCGCAGTCGCATCCTAGGCTCCCGCGCCCCAACTTAGGTTTTCACGCCCAACTCTTACAAGATCCTGAGACCCCGCCCCATCCCCCGCAGCTCAATTCCAACTGCAACTGACGGCAGAGCCTGAAGCCAGGAAAGGAACCTATTCCCCGCCCCGGTCCGCCCATGCTCGGACCCAGGGAGGCCCAGTGAGGTTCTCGCCCGGCTTTCCGGCCTCATCTGCCACGCTCTCCTGCCTGTCCCTTGTGGACACTTCGCTGCCCCGACCATGTCCCAGAAGCCGAAGGTAGAGCCCCACGTCGGACGGCTGGGATACCTGCAGGCGCTGGTCACGGAATTCCAGGAGACGGAGAGCCAGAGTGAGAGCGACAGGGTGGGGGCCAGAGGGATGGGACCGGGGTTCGGCCGTGACCGTGGCCCGGACCTGGCTCCAGTGCCGCTTTTCCGTTGCAGACGCCAAGGAGCAAGTCCTGGCCAACCTCGCCAACTTTGCCTATGACCCCAGCAACTACCAGTATCTGCGACAGCTGCAGGTCCTGGATTTATTCCTTGATTCGCTGTCGGAGGAGAATGAGACCCTGGTGGAGTTTGCTATTGGTAAGGATGGGACCGGTCTCCCAGATGCCTGATGGGCTGTGGTGAGATAAGTGAGTCAGAAGTGAGTCGTTGGTAAAGGAATCTCTTAGTCCCTCAGGTGCTGGGATGGAAGACCTTCCCGATATCTGTGCCACCTTCGCGGTTCACATGTTATCCAAGTCACATCTACCTTGAGCCAGGTCCGGAACTCAAGCCCAGGACTCCCTGTTCACGGCTGCCTTTCCTCCTGCTAAGTGATGAGATTATAAGGGGGAATGGATTGAAGCCACTTGGAGGGAAAAAAGTTTAGAGTGCTTTTTTTTTCATTTTAAAGATTTTATTGGGAAAGGGGAACAGCTAAGTTGTTGTCCTTCAATCTTAGTTGTGGAGGGCGCAGCTAGCTCAGCTCCAAGTTCAGTTGCCATCCGGCTGCCTATCGGCAGCTCAGGGCAGCTCAGCTCAAGGGGTGGTGTTCAATCTTATTTAAGGGTGGGCACAGCCCACCATCCCATGCGGGAGTTGAACTGGCAACCTTGTTAGGAGCATGTGCCCTCACCAGCTGAGCCATCCTGCCACCTGCTGGCAGCTCAGCTCAGGTGCAGCTCACTGGCCCATGTGGGAATCGAACCGGTGACCCTGTTGCTCAGAACTTGCGCTCTTAACCAACTGAGCCACTTGGCCAGCCCTAGAGTGCTTTTCTTTCTTAAGATTTTTATTGGGGAATTGGGGGGAGGGGAACAGCGCTGGGGAATTGGGGGAAGGGGAACAGACAAGTTGCTGTCCTTTTGTTCTTCAGTCTAGTTGTGGAGGACGTTGCTTCACTGGCCCAAGTTGGCACCATCATTGCACTCTTCCCGGGTGAGGCAGATCAGTCGCTGGCTTCTGGACGGCCGCTCACTGCGGCTGCTGGCCGCTCACGCTGGCTGCTGGCTACATATGGTAGCCCATGGCAACCCACTGCCACAGGGGCTGCAGCCTACGCCGTCGCCGGCGACTCACGGCAGCCCAGCTCCAGGTTGAGCTGTTGTTCAGCATCTTAGCTGTAGAGGGCAGTGTCACTGGTCCTCATATGTGGGATCCGAACCAGGGCCCTCTGGCGTCCCAAGCCAGTTCTTAACCATCGCGCCACTCGGCTGGCCCTAGAGTGCTTTTCTTAAATATCTTTATATTAATGTTTTAATGTCAGGAGAAGTAGGCGTGACTTAGAATAGCTTATGGTTCCTGTGGTTGGTATGGTCTAAAATCTATTGAATCATTAACTGGACAGATGTTGGGCCTGAACTGTGTAAGCAAGGTACTGTTCTAAATGCCGGAGAGATGGAGAACAAGTTGAGAAAGGTCTTGACCCTCAAAGAATTTACATTCTAGTAGGCGGAGACAGGTGGTGAGCAAACAAACTGAAAAGCTGAGGCTCTGAAGGAAATAAACAGGATGGTGAGACAGAGGTAGGCACAACTTCCATTTTGGCCGTCTCGGGAAGGCCTTCTAGGCAGAGGGGCATCTTGGGCCAGGACCTTAAAGCAGACGGAGCCAGAAGGAAGGCTGATATGGCAGGACTGTGGTGAGTGAAGCAGAGAGTGGCACAAAGCGAGGTTAGAGAGGCGGCGGCACCAGAATTTATAGGGGCTTAGATCTAGGCCATGGGAAAGAGTTTGGAATTTATTCTAAGGGCAAATGAAATTTTTTCTCAGCGTGCAATCTTTTAAAAATACCATTTCTCTATATAGTGAAAGGAATCTTACTCATGTAGGGAAAGAAACCTCTGATAATAATTCAGTTGTCACCTAATACCCACATATGCAAATTTCTCTAATAGTTCCCAAAGAGACATTTTGTTGTTTGTATAAATCAGGATTCAATTCAGGATCCATGCACTTAATCTGGTTGTTATGTTCCTTAGATCTCTCTCTCTCTCTCTCTCTCTCTCCCTCTCTCTCTCTCTCTCCCTCTCTCTCTCCCTTCCCCCCCCCCTCTCTCTCTTAAATAAACTTTGTATTTTAGAACAGTTTTAGAAAAATTGCAAAGGTAAGACAGAGGGTTCTCATATGTGCCACACCCAGTTTCCCTGTTAGTCCCATCTTACATTAGCGTGGTACATTTGTTATAACTAATAAACCAAACTATTGATGCATTATGATTAACTACAGCCCATTCTTTATTCAGATTTCCTTAGTTTGCCCGTCTTTTTACTCTTCCGGGATCCCATCTAGGATGTCACATTACATTTAGTTGTCACATCTCCTGAGGCTCCTCTGGGCTGTGCCAGTTTCTTAGACTTCCCTTTTTTTGGTGGTTTTGAGGAATACAGGTCAGGTATTTTGTATAATAGATTGTCCCTCAGTTGAGATTTGTCTGATTTTGTTTTTCCCTTATGATTGGACTGGGTTATGGGTTTTGGGGAGGACGACCATGGAGGTAAAGTGCCATTCTCCTCACATCGTATCGAGGGTACGTGCTACCAACATGACTTCTCACTGTTGATGGGGACCTTGATCATTTGACTGAGATAGTGTTTATTCAGTTTCTCTACTGTAAAGTTACTCTCCCCCCTTCCCTATCTTTCCATATTGTACTCTTTGGAAAGAAGTCACTGCATAAATGATCTTTTAATCATTAGTAGACTTTTTTCCATAACACTCCTTGTCGAAGGATCCAGACCAGTTCTGCAGAAGGTCCTGCCTTCCATTGTCTAGTTGCAGCTTTATGGTGTCATTTAGTTTGTTCTGTTGTCCTTTATCCCCTTTATTTCCTATAACTTAGAAATTAGATCAAAAGCCTTGATAGAATCAGTAACACTTTTTTTTTTTTTTTTTTTTTAGCTGAGCCATCCTGCCACCTATTGGCAGCTCAGCTCGGGCCGTGAATCATACCGGGGACCCTGTTGCTCAGAGCTCAAACTCTTGAGCGAGCTGTTAACCAACTGAGCCACTCGGCCGGCCTGTAACGCTTTTTTTGTTGTAGTTTTTTTTCCTGAGTACATCATAGGTAAGTGTGATTTAAATTTTTGAAAAACCATCCAGGTCTGCCCCTAACATTTGTGGTACCTGGTGCTAGAGTACAAAGGGGGGCAACCCCTCTTCTTCTAACCACGACAGGTCTCACACATGTGTGTGGACATCCCAGCTCTGTTCACAGCCCCCCCAACACACAGCTGCCTCATGGCCACTCCTTGGATACAGGAGTGTAGACACCCATAATGGGGTTCAACCCTGGGGGTCAAGATCTAGAAAAGAGGCCCATGCAGCTGTGGGAGCAGGTTCAGGGCCTGGAGCTCCAGGTGTGGGGGTGGGAGGATGGCTTTGGGAGAGCTCCCTGGATTTTTCAACCTGTGGAGAGGGCCAGAGTGAGGCCCTCTAAAGCTGGGCCAGGGACAGGAGCCCCAGTTGCCCAGGTCTAGTAGAGTGGTGCTAGCTCAAGTCTGTGCCCCTCTGGAAGATTATTATGCTAAATAAAGATTCTAAAAAGTGGGTCACTTGAAGATTTTCTCCAATATAAGTCCTCTGTCCGCTCACTTTTTGTACCTCGGCTCCACAGCTTCTGCCATCTGAATGGTGACGGTGGCCCCTGCGGAAACACGTGGCTAAACCTCACCTGGGGGTGATAGAGCTCCTCCAACTCAAGCTTTTGACTCCGGAGAAAACTTGCCTAAAAAGAGCAGTCACCCAAGAAAAGTTTCTACAGAGCCAGGAAGCAGCTTTGCTACGGTAGAAAGCACTCAGATCCTGGCCCGCTGAGCTGGGAGCTGTGGGCGAGACTTGGGCCAGCTTGGGTTCTTGCTCTTCCGGGCCGCTTCGCAGTTTTACTTTTCCCAGCCACTTTTTTTCTCCTCCTTTTCTCTTCCTCCTTCTTCCCATCGGAGCAAGGCCCCTAATCCCAAGAGCAGTAGCTTTCTCATCATTGAATCCCTCCATGGGATCGTCTGCAGATTAAATTTCTCTTTCATTTATTGCGCATAACTTAAAAGGAGAGCCCAGTGGTACTTAGAAGCATTTTGTGACTGCTGTCATTCCCTTTCCTCTTAATGTCTCTGGCACAAATGGAAAACGCTGTCAGGCGCTTGTCCTGCTGTTCCAAGGCTCTGTGCTGCTCATTGTAGCTCTGAGTCTTTTCTCTCCAGTGGCAGGCCGGAGATTGTGATCTCCGGGAGGGCCCAGCCTTACTTATGTCTTGAATGCTCTGGCCTTTTGGTCTGGGGAAGGTGAGCAAAGGGCCCACAAGGTGCAGCGTACTGGCCATGACTTGGCATGCAGCCCTGAGTGGGGGTGGTTCTGGAATTACTGGCAGAGAGGACAGCCTGTGGCCTTGGCCGTGGCCCGCAGAACCAAAACCAATGTCTGTTGGCGAGGAACATAGTGAGTGTGGTTAAGAGCTGGGCTTTGGGGTCAGGCAGGCCTGGGTTTGAGTCCTCGCTCCCCCACGCCCCCGGGCGTGTGGCTTCCTTATTTCCATCATCTGTCAGGTGGGGGCAATAGCAGTACATGTCTCACAGAATTGTTGAGAGAATTAAATGAGATAAAATGTCTGCTGCTGCAAGATCCCACGTATCCAGAGCCCCTTTGAGGATAAACAGTTCCCTCATCTCCCAGAGAGGTGAGGTGGGATGGGATCATGTCCTTTCACAAGCCACCTGTCTGCCCAGGGATTCTTCCCTCTGGAAAAAACCATCATCAAATAAGGAAAAGATAAAGCCAACCCTTAGCCTTCCAGCAGGTGTCCAGGTGGTATTAAGTGAAGTGAGCCTGGCTGTCATGTGTGCCCTGGTGCTGCGCTCCGCCTGTCAGCTGCACAGCTGGTGCTGTCGCGCTTACGAGGACCTGTAATAATAGCTGCACTTATGGAGCGCCCTCTGTATACCCGGCACTGACTTCCTGTGCTTTATGGCCTTTGACCCTGACATAGCACTAAAAGCGGTGTGCTCACACCATGCATTTTCCAATCAGGAATCTGAGGCTTAGAAAGGGTCAGTGGGTTGGTCAAAGGTTTAAGGAGTACAAGACCTAAGACTTAAATCCAAGGCCGTCAGATTCTAGAGCTGTTCTCTTGGCCACTTTCCTGCCCTTAGAGGAGTTCCTGATTTCTAGGGTTGTGGACTGTGAAAGCTAGAAAGAAAGTCTAAACCCCTCGTTTTACTGATGAGGAAACTGAGGCACAGACAGCTGCCCCTTGGCTGGTTACTGACAGGCCAGGGTCAGAAGGCTCC